AAAAAAAAAAAAAAAAAAAAAACAAAAAAATTTGAAAAAGAAAAAAGAAAAAGGAGGGAATAGTTAGAAAAGTGATAAAATAAGATAATGATGGGTGTTTTATGGACATTGGTATTAGCCATTATTATTACTATACCTGAATCATGTGACATCATCGTCTCGTGAGCTTCGCGCAACTTCCTCCCTTTTTTCTCCTAAAACCCTAATTTCTCTACTTCATCTCATTTTAAACTCTATATTTATGTTCTTCAGTTGCTGGATCAGTCATCGGGACAAATGAACCCTCCAAAAAGAATGGTGCTATACCTCTGATCCCAATAGATGGAAGAAGTTGCCTAGTAATCTCTAGGTTGTAGCAAGTCTGGTCGTTAATTCCTCGCGCTATTGCTAGGACCGATTGCATTGAGTTCTAGAACATAATTGTTATTAGATACTAACCATTTTCGAAATAATATAAATTTTATATCCAATTTCTCCCCTTTTTGGTGTGAAATTATTAGTAATGATTTATAAGCATCATGTTTGGGATACCCTTTACAACTATATTGAGCCTTTTTATTGTATGAATGGGAATAATCATTTTCATAATTATGTGTGAATTATGTGAAAATTATATAAATCCTCCCAATTAAATAATTTTGAAAAAAATAATGCACCAAAAACTGATAATAATGTGATGAGGGCTTGATTTTAAATTAGAAAAGTGGTGGGGTGTAAAAAAAGAAAAGTGAAGAATTTAGGGACGCAAAAGGTAAATAACTTTTTAAATTTTTATGATTAAAAAAAAAAAAAAAACATAAAAGTCAATTGAGGATTGGGCAATCTTTTAAAAATATATGTATCATAATGATATATAAATTCACTGGTGATTCATCATCATTGTCTCTATATTTCATATTTCTTTCCACAAAATGGGACAAAACTATAACTATTATAAATCTATCAAATTATTTCATTGCACTGTTGGAAACCCTAATCATGTGGATTCTTATGGAATTATTTCTCTCAAAATTACTTTTTTACCCTTTTCAAAGATGTGTAACGACTTATAACGATTCGATACTTAATGGTCTCGGTATAGCCTTGCATCTCATACGATATAGTTACTTTACTTACTCTTCGTTTCTAAGACTGAAAACCATTCTCACAAACCAACCCACGAGAATATTTAACCTTAGAGTTCTTATAATTGAATCACTGAAAAGTTAGGGTACATTTGGAGTTAATAGCAAGTTTTTGAGACGTTTAATGTCTATTTTTGAGAAATATATGAGTGTGTAATACGCATATTTTTTGTTCTTTCACCTAAAATGACGTTAGCATACATATGATAGTAAGCTGATATTGATCTAGAATTTTAGAAAGTGAGATTGAGTTCTTATTCTGTTAATGAATGAAGTGTAGGAAGAGATAACGGTGAAATCGTTGCTCTAGAATTTTTAGTAATTGAATTTACCTACTTTTGGAGTTTTAAATATTGAATTCAAAGCAAGTTTACATTTGACCTTCTTTGATTGTTCGGTGTTCAAATAAAATTTAGGTTAACGAATCTGGTAATACGTAAGCATTCATTCCATATGAAAATCGTTTCATAGACTAACAAAACCTATCAACAATAGACGTTTATAATTAGTGTCGACAAAATTTATCAATAATGCAATAAACTAACAATGTAGTTTATATTAAGCATGTTCCTTGATGCACTTTACCACCTATATAGGTATATGTATATATATATATTCCAACGGGCTCCTTTCATTATCTGTTGGGCAACTGAAGGTGGAAAAAGTAAAAGAGAAAACAAGGGTTGTATCTCAAACAAAACCAAACAGAGTGAGTGAGTACTAATGTCGTGTCTTTAAGTGGATTGTCGTGTATAGTTGACCTTAAATTCAACAGTGAAACTTCCACTAAGAACAATGGGACAGAGTTTTTATGCTTTTGAGGTGTGGGAAAACAGTGTGACAAAATGAAGCCTCCAAATATCCAAACCACCAAACTACCTTAACAATGGAACTACGAGGTGACTTTATTACCTCGGCTAATCTCGCCCTTTGAATATGGAAACCTAAGTGACCATATTATTATAATCGAAAATGCAATTACATGCAACATGTTTCATGACTAGAAAACCTATTTTTTCAGATGGTTAATTTACGCTCCATTTTTTTTTTTTTTTTTTGTTCAAGTAGAGTTGAATGCATGATACTTCTCTCCACACTATACGAGATTCACGTATATAGTAGAAGTAAGCCTTGCTCATGAGATATACAACATGCATAAGATCTCAAATTAAAAATCATTGTTCAATGAGATGATGCACATAATACTTCCTTACAATCATGACGATATAAATTTCTTACGAGACATATATATATTCGTGATATTTCATTCATGCTTATCATACATGGTATCTCACAAGACATAACATGATCGTATTAAGCTAGAAAACACTAATTAGCAAACGAGAAGTACATACCATACAACAATTCATTAGAATATTATATCATAAATAATAACACATAAATAGGCCAAAGGTTACGCGATATTCATACATCAATTCTTTTATCCAACCTAGCATTAGGCATCTCAAGAGCAAGCTCTTAACACTATTTACTTTTATAAAAAAAAATTAAAAATTTGTATGTCAATATATGGACGAAATGCGTTTATTGATACTCCATAGATTATTTCTAAACGTTGTTTATATTATTTTTGGTAATTCATGAATATTTTTTTAGATGTGATATTAACGGTAGATGTATTTTTAAATTTTTCAAAAAAATATAAAGGTTTTAAAATCTTTTGACAGAAGGAGGTAAAGGCATTGAGGTATATTATAAAATGGCACCCAAATTCCTTTTCTCTTCACCTTCTTTCCCCTTTACAATTCCCAAAAACACACAAAAATGGGTTCTAAATCCCAAATCCTATTAAACCCACAAGCTTTGTTTGAAGATGAAGAACATGAACAAGCATCAACTCATCATCAAATGGAATTCTTCTCTTTCCCTTCAAACTTCAACGTTTCTCATCTTCCTTCAATCCCCCAACACCAAACCCTTTCTCCTTCCACTCCCTTTCTTCACCCTAGCCTCTCTCAAACCCTAAACTCCTCTCATTTTCCTACTCCAAACCTTCTTTCCTTGCAAACCTCCACTCCAAATCCATGGTGAGTAACACTCCAACCTTGTTTTTTGTGTTTCTATTTGGTTTGTTTTTTATTTGATGTGTGTTTTTGAAGGGCATTTGGGAAGAGAAATGAGTATCATTTGGGATTGGGAGTATCAACCATGAAGATGAAGAAGATGAAAGGAAGAAGAAAAGTGAGAGAGCCAAGATTCTCATTCAAGACCATGACCGATGTCGATGTTCTTGATGATGGTTACAAATGGCGCAAGTACGGTCAGAAAGTCGTCAAAAACACACATCATCCTAGGTAAAAACCCAAACTAAATATGTATTATCCATTATAGGTTGGGGAGGAGAACAATACATCTTTTATAAGGGTGTGAAAATAGACACATTTTAAAAATCTTGAGAGAAATCCCGAAAGAGAAAACCTAAATAGAATAATATCTGCTAGCGGTGAGCCTAAGCCATTATAAATGATATCAGAGCCAGACACTAGGGGTAGACACATCGCGGTGTGCTAGTAAGTACGCTGGGCCTCGAAGGAGAGTGGATTTGGTGGGGATTCCACATCAATTGGAGAAAGGAATGAGCCCTAGCGAGGACGCTCGGCCCTAAAGAGAGTGGATTGTGATATCCCACGTCAGAGAAGAGATTAAACACTATTTATAAGAGTGTGAAAAACTCTCCCCGTTTTAAAAACCTTAAAGGAACCGCCCAAAGAGCTTGAGCCGTTACAAAATCAATGTAAAAAAAAAAAAAAAAAAAAAAAAAAAAAAAAAAAAAAAAAAAAAAAAAAAAA